GTGATTTTGAAGAATGTTGTTGGAGAATTTCTGATTTTGATGAACTGTTCATCGTTTAAAAGTTTTAGAAATTCTTGAAATTAAGGATGAATTATATAATAAAAATGTTGTTTTTAACTTAAATTGAACATGTTTATGGTTAAATTTTGATTTGGAACTAATTTGGGTGATTGAAACGGAGAAATTGGAAATCTGGAATTCGAAAATGGTGAACTGGAAAACCTGCAAAATTCGCTCAAGCGAACATATGTCGCTTGAGCGAAGACACCTGGAAAATTTGGGACTCTCGGGATCCATCTCGCTCAAGCGACTAGTGTACTCGCTTGAGCGACGAATGCTTCAAACAAAGGGGACTCCCTGGTCAAGTCTCGCTCAAGCGACTGGTGTACTCGCTTGAGCGACGGATGTTTCGAACAAAGGGGACTCCCGGGTCAAGTCTCGCTCAAGCGACTGTGTACTCGCTTGAGCGACGGATGTTTCAAACAAAGGGGACTCCCGGGTCAAGTCTCGATCAAGCGACTGTGTATTCGCTTGAGCGACGGATGCTTCAAACAAAGGGGACTCCCGGGTCAAGTCTCGCTCAAGCGACTAGTGTACTCGCTTGAGCGACGGATGCTTCAAACAAAGGCGACTCTCGGGTCATGTCTCGCTCAAGCGACTGGTGTACTCGCTTGAGCGACGAAGCCTTCAAACAACGGGATTCTCGGGTTCCATCTCGCTCAAGCAACCGGTGTACTCGCTTGAGCGAGCGAAGGAAGAAGAAAGGGATATGGTGTGGATTTTTTTTTAAAAGATTAAGGGCAAAATAGTAATGATTTCGAAAATGATTTCGAAAATAGTTCGGAAATAGTTTCGGAAATGATTTCGAAAATTATTTTAGAAAAATATATATATAAAGATAGAGAGAGAATGAAAATAGAGTATTGTGACGTGTGTGGGTCAGACTGAGCCTGAGGGCTGATGCCCAGAATCAGTCCTGAGACGTTATATATTGGCTAGACTGAGCCAGAAGGTTGGTGCCAGAATCAGTCAAATACTATTTTTATTGACTCGAATGAGCCGTGAGGACATGTGGTCCGAATCCGGCAAATGTGAATAATTTTTGTTATGTTTGAATGGTACCCGGGGTGGTACGAGTACATTAATGTAATAACTATGTCGAGGATTCTGAATGAGGTCCCGGACTTCACCGATTGGTCGGGTCGGGTAGACTACGAGATCGGGTGGTGAGAAGTCGATGGGGGGATGACTGGTGGCGCGCTCGGAGGGTACTCCAGTATGAGTGATGAAGGGCGCCGGTAATCCTACTCGTGTGGAGGGTGGTCGAATGGTACTGCGGGTATCGATCACAATGTGCCCACAGATGATAGCCTCTGAGTTCGGGCATAGTTAGGGTATACTTCCGGAAGGTGTCTTAGTATGTTGATAATTTCGTAATTGATCATAATATGTAATTATTACTTCTATATCTGTTTTATTATATTGAATTATTTAATACTTACCCCTATTTTTCCATGTGGATGGGACTGCGATGATCACTTTTATGTGGGAGCAGATCAGGAGTTGAGAGATGGTGATGGGACTACTAGACAAGTAGGGATAGTTCAGTGGGATAGCTTCGAGGGAGCTATCGTTACATGTATAATGTATAAATAAATGATGTTAATATATTTTGAAGTTCAGTTAGTGAACTGGAATTTCAATATATGTTACAATTACGATAATATAATGTAAAATAAATGTTGTTATTTACTTATTTACTACTTTGCGAAGACATCATTATAGTAGCGATTTCTAGGGTCGTTACACTAGGGCTAGAGAGTAGAGATATAAATGGAACCATTAGATCATAAGCTACATAAACCGACATAAAGAAAACAATAAAATGAGGAAAGTCATTCAAAATTATCAACTTGTTTGGGATAAGATCGCATAAACTTTGTCAACCAGAGCTTTTATTTTCATTTTATTTCAACTTTACTCTCAAATTCTTTTATAAAAAATGTTTTAATCAAAATATCTTTGGCATTGTGAAATTTATATAAAATGAAATTGAAGTGTAAATATTTTTCTTAAAGAATTAACATAATTAAAACATATTTTCATTATATATTTTAGTTAAAATGTAATAAGCCATGTTTCTGTTGTGCAATTATTATTTTTATATAAGTTATTTTTCTTGTTAAAAAAGTCACATTTAATAGTAATAAAATTAATTACGGTAAAAAAGTATTTCTAACTAATTATCTTTTTAATATTGATCAAATTAGTCATGATAAATTATATTTTTCAACCACAATCAATTTACTTATGGTACAAGATATCTTTTAAAATAATAATTGCTTAAGAAATGATTTTATTAAGGTTGTAACAGTAGTAACGTGACTCTCTATATACCTAGAATGCATATAAATAATAAAGGAGATACTTTTGAAAACACATGTTGGAACTAACTAAGTTTATGGAAGCAATATTACAACAATCATAATTAAAGTGAAGTTATTGTGAGCAAAAACCTTAAACCATGCACAACTTAGTGGAAGTGAAATTAAACAAGAGAAGAGAAGCTATGTTTTTTATTTTATTTTTAAAAACATTCACTAACTCCAAAATAAACTCATTTAGAACTAAAAGAAGAAAAATTAAAGTTGAAGTAACTCACTATGATATCTCATACATTGCAAAGGAATTAGTGATTTTTTTTTTTAAGTTTATTTAAGTAGTATTCTTTATTCAGTTATCCTACACCTACTGATCAGAAAGTTATATTTTTTTTATATTTTTATATTTTTTACTTTTTTGAATACATTTCTATCTCCACCCTCATCCTCATTTGTTTTGCATTTTTAGGTTTGAACTAATTGCTGGGCCAAAGTTCAATTTCTGGAACAAAATAGAATTTGGGCTGAAAAGGGCTATAACCTAAGCCCAAAATCAGGACATACTTGAGACCCATTTCGAATAGGTGCCTGATGCCCCTCAAATTTACGACAAAGAGCCCAAATGCATATCTTCAGAAGGACAGAATGAGTAGCAGAAAGTGATAATTTAAGTGAATATATTGTTACCATATATTTTATATTTTTCTTTTCATTTTTAATGTTCGTTATCACATCACTCATTTTATCTTACACATATTTTCCATTTTTCTTCTCAGCTGATATTTCTCTCATAATTATAAAAAATAATTGCAAGAATCGATTTTTTTCTTAAGTAGAATCAGCTGAAAGTTAAATTCGACACAAAAAAAAAAAAGTAGTAAGTAAAAAGTAGATTCCGTTTTGTTTTATCCATTCTTTAAGCATAAAAATATGAATTTAAAGTTGGGTATCCTACTACAGGTTCATGTACTGCATGTTGAAAACATTTTAGAAGGACATTTCAAAAAATTATGAATTCAAACTACTTTTTAATATATACAAGGAAGTTTCCCGTATAGAACCAGAGATCCTTTCTTGCTATTATTACCATAATTAAATGTTAAGTAATTAGTGTTTTTTTTTTTTCTGATCAGAAACGTTTGGTAGCTGGTAATGAATTCACACAAATTTAGATAAATTTTGTCAACATCAAATGACAACTACTCAGTATTCTTTCAATCCCTTTTTTCAACTAATATTTCTCAATTACATCTTTAACTCTACTTTATCAAATTCTTTAAGTGTTTTCTTTGGAGTAGGTTTTACTAAAATGGATTTTGAATTATATTATACCTGAGTGATATGTGTGAAAGTTAATCTTAAATTATATATTTTAGATTTAATGATATTTGTAGTTTCCATTCCTTTTATTTATTTTTTTATTTATTTTTATCTCTTAACTTTCTCCGTTAAATTTAATGATAATAATAATAATAATATCATCATAATAATAATAATCACATCACGTCAATATATAAAGTTATCAGTGATTAATATTATATATATATATATATATATATTAAATTTCTTTATAATGATATACATTAAAGTTGGAGGGGATAATATATATATATATATATATATATATATATATATATATATTAAATTTCTTTAATAAAAAAACATAATTAATTTACTCTTTCAAATTTCTTTATAATGATATACATTAAAGTAATTGAATAAGATAAAGAAAGTAGGTAAATTGTGTTAAAACAATTTCTTTAACAATTTATTCAATAAATTATTGGAGTCAACACAAATATGTTAAGATATCGAATCGTTATCAATTAATTTTAGTGTAATACTTACTATATTCTGTAAATATGTAACTTTGATAATTTTTTAATTAGTCACTTTATTTTTAGTTTTCATAAATATATTATTTTAGATAGATATAGATATTATGTTACTTTGTAGTGATATTTGATATCATATATTTTATAAAGTCAATAATATTAATTTCACTTTTATGTGATATGATTAAAATAATATTTATATTATGAGACGAAAGGACTAAAGAGATAATTAAGATAATCTAATCTAATCTATTTAGACAATGAATAAAATTAACTCTGAATTGTAATCGGACAAGCACTTAGATATTTTATTGTCGCTTGCATTTTGGTTGGAAATCGGTGTACTTTCAACGTGTCAGGTTACTCATCTTGGTCCCATTTTCTTGTCCTCTACCCTCCCTTCTTTTGTCCAAAATCACTTCTACCAAAATTTTCATTCTCGTTTAATTTATCGATACATATAAAAAGAAAAAAAACAATAATTATCAAAAACACAAATTAAATAATATAAATAAGATTAAATAAATAATTAAACCATAATTCTATTCTAGAAAACTAAAAAAGTCTTTTAGAAATAGAAATGAAACACACTTAGCATTTACTTGTAATACACATGGACTTGGTTGTTGTTTCCATTCTCAAAGCAATCAAACTAGTGAATTACCATAGTAGCCTTGACACCTTATTAGCACAAGTGACATCATACAGCAATATGGAAATCAAGAAGAAAAGAGAAGTAGTGGTGCAAATCAGGAGTGTGATGAAAGTTGGAGGAAATAATGCATCAGAGCCGAAGATCTAAGTCAATCTTATTAACATCTGACTCTTGCTTTGGCAAGTCCACCCGAAAGCTACCTGGCCAATAGAAATCCACAGCTTGTTCAAGCATAAAGGGTGTCCATGATGCCACTCCAACCCCATTACTGTTGGCATCACTGAATCTAGCCACCATAGCAGACCTTTCTCTGCCTGGTTTGTGCACAAGGGAGTGAGGCTGTATTCCCAGTGACCTAGATGCCAGAGAAGTGTAAGCAAGCCCCATTGGTGATCTTGTTGTCATCATCCTACGAGACTGGTAGCTTCTAGCTGCTTCTCTTTCCCTCTTGTGTGCATTCTGGTGACCCCCTAAGGCTTGTGAGCTGTAAAACTTTCTCATGCAGAAGTTGCATGAGAAAACCTTGTTGTGGAGAGGCTTTGATGGGTTTTGTTGTTCTGCTGCTTCCTCAGGCATGTCTCCTTTGAGGCCTAACCTCAACCATTTCCCTAACTTATCACCTTCAGGAGTCACAATTTCACAGTTGGCATGATTGTCATTGATTGACACATGCTCATGATCATCAACTTCGTCTTCCCTGAGGAAGGTCATAGTAAAGAATAGTTTTGTGGAAGAGGGAGAAGTGGTTGGCCTTAAATAAGGACAAAGAAAGAGGAGGGGTGATTGATTGAGGACAAGGGATAGGAAGTAGGAAGTGGGAGCTGAATATTATTTGGTGAAGTGTTATATCTTTATGAACTCAGCACTACGCCATGTCTTGTGTTCCCACCCAGTTTTGCATATACTTTAGAGGGGAGAATTGGGACAATGCTAATGTCATCTGGTGGTGTTGGCAATTTATGGCTTCAGATTCCTACTTGTCTTCAGATTTACACTACTTCTAGCATCTATATAGGTGCTCCGTGGTGGATTTGGAATGGACCCTTGACTATTAAAAGTATTATGTACTGTTAGAGTCAGATTGCAATTTTTTTATTTTTATACTTCACATACGTCGCAACAATCCAATCTCTTTTTTTTTCTTCTTTTAGGAAAATATATACCTTGAATATAAAATCGGGATAATAATAAAAATCTTAATCATACATTATGTTAATCGCTTCAGGTCAAACAATGAACTTTTTTCCCTCAAATGTATCATACATAAAAGGCATTCTATTACCAACACAACAACTATCACATCTCTCATCAAAATTCAAACTTTCTCATCACTATATGTCTAACAAAATAGAGGCTATAGTTCATCTCAATCCAATTTATTCATAAGAAATGTTGATTAGATCCTAATTAGAGACTCACATTTAGTGAATGATTATCTATATGCAAATACCAATATTTAATAAGAAACACTTGACTTAATTAAGAATGATATAATTAGACCAGATAAAACTTGAAGTAAGTTTCTCACTAATTTTACCCTCTATTTGTACCATGCATATACTGATTTTAGTGCCAAAATCGTTGTAGATAACGAAATTCTGCCTGTGAGAATATGCATAAATTTTGTTCAAATATTCAACTTTTTGTAATCTGATTAAGAACATGTTTTATTTAATTTAGTTAGAATATAATTTTGTCCCTCATGTGAATTTTTTAATCTAGTATGCTTTCCTAAGTTAACAAATACACTTGGATTCCTTAAAATGTTTCTATCAAATCAAAATAGTCTTGTTAAGTTTTTTGAGATTGCTATATTTTGCTTAACCTGGCAAACATCTATGATGTGACGTATCTCATAATTTGTCGCATGTCACTAAATCATATTTGTATAATAGGAAAGTGTATAAACCCGCCTTTCTTTATAACAAATTAGCACACTTTAAATGGCTAATAAAATAAATTAAAATTTATAATTAAAACAAAAAATTATACGAGAGTCTAGATTATATTTTACTTTTATGTTATTCTTTCATACTTAAAAAAGGACTAATTAATGAGAAATTAACATAGAAAGATAGTGTTACTGTTGTCGAGAAAAAGATTTTGTCTTCCTTAAAAAATTATTATTATTTTTTATTGAAATCATTCAAGAGTCTGATAAATGAAACAACTAATTTGAATTCCTTTTCTGCAATATTTTTAAAACAAAAATATATATAATTTCTTTGTTTTTACTGTTAGTATTATGGTGCTTGATTTAGTCCCACATCGATTAAGATTGTGAGATGAGGTTCTCTATTTTGTTATATAAGCAACCCTATGTAAAGTTTGAGATACACACAGAAATAAAATTACTTCCTAGTGTAGTCGTGGACGTAGGCATACATATTTTAGCCGAACCACGTTAAAATTCTTGTGTCGTTTATTTTTCTCTCCTTCATTCTTTCCTTTATTATTGTCTTGTTCCTAACAATTGGTATCGAGTCAAGGTCACGAGTTCGATTCCTGGTGGGCAATTGTTGAGGGGGAGATTGTTGCAAGTTGCACAATTGTCCCGTGGCGAGGCCGGGTGGGCCAAGTCACAATCCAAGAGTGGGATACCTTGTAGGACAATTGCTGAGGGGAGATTGTTGCAGGTAGCATCAATTGTCCCGTGACGAAGGTCAGGTGGGTCGAGTCACAATTGAATCGTGGCGCTTGAGTCGTTAAAGTAAAAAGAGTTGCGCTCGACTAACGGCTATAGCTTTTGGCCTAGTGGTAAGCGCTCGATCCTAACAATTGGTATCGAGCCAAGGTCACGAGTTCGATTCCTGGTGGGCAATTGTTGAGGGGGAGATTGTTGCAGGTTGCACAATTGTCCCGTGGCGAGGCCGGGTGGGCCAAGTCACAATCCAAGAGTGGGATACCTTGTAGGACAATTGCTGAGGGGAGATTGTTGCAGGTAGCATCAATTGTCCCTGTGACGAAGGTCGGTGGGCCGAGTCACAATTGAATCGTGGCGCTTGAGTCGTTAAAGTAAAAAGAGTTGCGCTCGACTAATGGCTATAGCTTTTGGCCTAGTGGTAAGCGCTCGATCCTAACAATTGGTATCGGAGTCAAGGTCACGAGTTCGATTCCTGGTGGGCAATTGTTGAGGGGGAGATTGTTGCAGGTTGCACAATTGTCCCGTGGCAGATGCCGGGTGGGCCAAGTCACAATCCAAGAGTGGGATACCTTGTAGGACAATTGCTGAGGGGGAGATTGTTGCAGGTAGCATCAATTGTCCTGTGACGAAGGTCAGGTGGGCCGAGTCACAATTGAATCGTGGCGCTTGGGCTGTTAAAGTAAAAAGAGTTGCGCTCTGACTAACGGCTATAGCTTTTGGCCTAGTGGTAAGCGCTCGATCCTAACATTTACATTCTTAGAAATACATAGTAGAGAAGAATGAATGAAAAAAAAAAGTAATTTATTAACGGGTTGGTAGAGTGAAGTAAAGTTTCGTATTTGACGAGTCACATAATTGAATTCCTACTCTTAGAGACAGGTAAATATTGTCAGACTCTTTACATAATTTTTTATGACACTGAACATTTATCATTTATTTCAATCATATTAAAAATGACAAAGTATATGATCTCTAAAACTGAGACGACATTCACACGTTCTATTACACCAAATTTTTCATATTGTATTAAATTCTTCAGAAATTTATCAATGTTTTTCACTTTTTTTATAGGGAAACAAATGTATCACAACTATAAAAAAAGAGGGTGAATCAGAGTTGACTCTTATGTTACCACTATTGACAAAATATGGTAATCTTGAAAGGTGAAAGATATATTCTAGTGGGTAAACTTAGTTTATGATGTCGGTCAAAATAATAATTTTGCTTAGATACAATAAAAAAACAGTGATTTACATAAGTATAAAAGTAAAAATATGAAGAAGGGTGTTTTTACTGATTAAAGCGATAGGGTCTCTCCCATACTGGATCCTGCAAACTACGTTGGTGTTTTAGCAGTGAGTGGTGGATTGCTACATTCATTGATGTTGGACTGTTGGTGTTTTGGGAGCCACAAATTTGATAGGGGAAAGATCTAGTTTGTATAAGCCACAAGTTACATTCACACACAAAGACATGGTAATAGTGGGACAGTAAATGTGGGATTGGTCACGGTATGGTCCATCCAAGACATAAGATGGACTTCATTTTGTTGTTACTCTCAGAAGTCACGGCAAATAACGCATGGTAGGCAATATAGAAAAAAGGGGCACATTTTAAGTACACAGAAAAGCAAACTCTATGCTCAACATTTGAAAAAAAAACAGGACCAAATACACACTAAAGATAGTGGATCGAGTTGTCGCTGCTTCTGCACAATCTTTAATTTTATTCATAATAATGTAATACTCCTATTCTGGAAGTTAAAGGGGTCCGCAAAAAGTGTCAATAATGGTGAGAAAAAGTTAAAGGGGGGAAAAGAAGTGATATTGAGTTTTTAAATCAGTTTCTAACAAAGATATGATGGTTGTGTGGTGTCGAGTTGTAAGTGGGCTACGTCCATGCACAGTACAAGTGCATTTAGAGCCACTTGTGCTTATTCTTAGATATCAGAATCTCACTCTAATGCCCTTCTTAACAAAGTTTATAATTTCCCCAGTAATGGGATGATGAAGCCATTGTGACGTTGAAGCTTCGTTTCGATAAAATAATTGAGGTGTTGGATTGATGAGTCGGAAGTTACGAATTAGACATGTCTTATCTTGTTGGAATATTATAAATTTAAAACTACTCGGATTAGAAGCCAAAAGAGTTGTCAATGATCTACAGAAGCCTGAAATCAGCATCGGCCCAAAATATAGTACCAACCCTTCTTTAACTCGTGCCTGCTTTTATGATTCAACATCAAACCATTTGCAAATGTACAGCACATACCAAATCACTTGGTCACTTCCTTTTGTTTGTATTGACACATCACAATCAGAGAATTAATCAACTATGATTTGGGAACAATCAGAATATTAAGGACACTTCTGGACTTTAAACTGGTTCAATGCTGAATTAGATGGTGAATAGACCCTGAAATGTGCATTACTTGTTCAAACATAAAAGAGTTTAAACTTTTTTGAAAAAAAGTCAGCAGTGTGGCCTTTTTTTTTTCTTTGATAATTAAAGTCAGCGAAGCTATATTGGATAATAAGTGCATATTGAGTCAAAATGTGAGGAGGGTATCAAGTTGAAGCATTTTGTGACAAAGATCCAAGCAAGCAAGCAACAACTGCTGGTTCTGAAGTGGTTAAAAGGAATCACCCAAGTGAGCTTGGGCTGGCTTATCCTGATATATATTCCTAGGTGTGCTTCTGTTTTGTTTAATGCTGTTTTAAAACATTTATTAAAATAGAAGACAAAAAAGGTAAAAGATGGCATGGAAAACAAAAACTGTGAAGGAGAACAAATTCTAGTCATGTAGCAGATGCTAATAAAGTGTGGTCCTCTTTAAAAGTTTTGCTACTACGCTTTGCACGGGTGAATTCCTTCAGTTACACGCTACAACACTTTCATCAGGAAGTACAAATGGGGACTGTAATCTGTGCCTTTATGTGACTCTGTTAAACACTCTATTTTGTTGAACTAAAGCACCAACCAATGTTTTTGAAAACAATTTATTTTGTTCCTGAAAAAACTAATCGATCATATTTAGTCGAAGGAGAAAAGGTTTAAAATAGTCCCA